TACCAGGTACGGGACATCCTTTTGCTAGCGACGGGACAGCGCTGTGACAAGGGAGGGGACAGTTGTTTTCCTGGTAGGGTGCAGCGGTGTGCCCAGGGAGGGACAGTTGTGATCCAGGTGACAACGGTGTGTCACATGAGGGGATAGCTGTGTGTCCAGGGAGGGGACAGCGGTATGCCCAGGGGAGGGGACAGCGGTGTGACCACGGGAGGGGACAGCAGTGTGACCAGGGAGGGGACAGCGGTGTGACCAGGGAGGGGACAGTGGTGTGACCAGGGAGGGGACAGTGGTGTGACCAGGGAGGGGACAGTGGTGTGACCAGGGAGGGGACAGCGGTGTGACTAGGTTTGTGAACTGTGGAAGAACAAGCTTTAACACATTCAACACGTTTTCATTTTGTTTTTCTTTAACCAGCGTGGTCACCAGATGCTCAGGTTAGAATGAGCCTGACCAGCGTGGTCACCAGTTGGTTAAGGTCTTTGAATCCACATAGACAGCAGCATGGTGACCAGAAGGTTAGGCCCTTTGCTCACCACTTATTAGTGAATTCCCCTGTCCTCCAACAGAAAATTAAACAAATATTCCATTCGTACAATGGAATATTCCTCAGTGGTAAGAACAATGAACTACTGATACATGCAACAATACGGATACGTCTCAAAATAATTACTCAGAATGAAAGAAGCCAGACAAAAAAAGTAAATACTGATTCCATTTACATAAAACTAGAAAATGCTACCTAACCTAAAAGCTTATATTTAGAATAGATTAAAAACTCCTTCAAACAAAAAAAGCCAGTAGAAAAATGGCAAGAGACTGAACACACACAGCCTTCAACCTTCACAAAGATTAAAAAGAGAAAATGGCCAAATGGCCAATAAATGTACAACAAGGCGTTGAACGCCACTCCTTCTCGGACAGTTGTGAGTTACAATTCAGCAGCACTAAGCCCACCAGAAGGGCTAAGATTAAAAGGACCAGGCGTAGGGAAGGAGGCGGAATTCTCACACACCATTTGGAGTACAGCTTGGCACCCCACTTCGGAAGTCTCCTTAACATTACCTACTAAACTAAAGACACAAATTCCCCGTGACTCAGCAGGGGAGCACACATATGACATATCAGAGCATGTTTCTAACGGTCAGATTGTGGGGTCAAAACCAATGTCCACCACCAGAAGGGGGAAGGCGTGGTCTCTGCCTGCAGTGGAATACTATGCAGCAATGAACATGAGCAATGGGGACAAACCTCCTAAATGTGATGGTGAACGAGGGAAAGACTGCATACTGCATGTCCCTTGTGCCCGAAGTTCAAAGGTCAGTCACACTGACCTCTGGTGCAAGAGTGAAGACAGTGTGCCCTTCAGGGGGCGAAGGGCGCACTGATTGGCAGGCGGGGTCCCCCCGGACCACTTTGTTACGCCCACCACAGTGTGCACGTGATCTCTGGGACAGGCTCTCCCGGTATTTTACGGTCCCCGGCCAAAGGAAGAGAGGAAGCTGGGGATCTGAATGCAGATCTAACTCAGGGGGGAAAAAATCAAAACACTAGTGCAGGCTCCCTTCACTCACGACCAGCACAGTGACTGCCAGCAGGACTGGAAGCTCCAGGAAACGTCCAAGTAAATACCACCCGGCTCCCTGGAGCAGCACTCCCTGTTCTCGGCACAAAGCTGAGAACAGTGCCACGCCGTGCTGACAGCGCTACGCTGTCACTGCGCCGTGAAACCTGGTTTTATTAGGGAGCAGTCACGGAACGCCGCCGCCACGAAATGGGCTTTAGAATGAAACTCGATGTCTCTCAAACTCCACCAGCTTAATGCAGAAGATTCTGCAAGAAACGTAATAACCGTCCTTAAACGTGTTAAAGTTAGAAACCTATAAAATTTCAACTCCTCTCGACTGCGTTAGGATGACCCTGTCTTGCTCATGTTCTTCCTAAAGTTTTTTTAATACAGCGATTCCTGACCGTTTTATAAAAATCAAAGCTAATGCAATGCCTTTGTTGGGTTCGCCTTGTCCCCGGGGCTGTCAGCTGGGTCCACAGGGCACCAGAGGCGGAGGTGACCACGGCTGTGTGTCCAGGGACAACGAGAAGCCACGGGGGGCCCGCACCTGCTGGGGGGGACGTGCACCTGCTGAGGGGGGCCCGCACCTGCTGAGGGGGGACGTGCACCTGCTGAGGGGGGCCCGCACCTGCTGAGGGGGGACGTGCACCTGCTGAGGGGGGCCCGCACCTGCTGAGGGGGGAAGTGCACCTGCTGAGGGGGGTCGCACCTGCTGGGGGGGCGTGCACCTGCTGGGGGGGGAGTGCACCTGCTGAGGGGGGCCTGCACCTGGAGAGGGGGCCCACACCTGCGGGGGTGCACTCCCTGTAGAGAGGACCCCCTGCCTTTGCGGGGGACACGCCACTCTGTGGAGG